TAGATTTTCCCATTTTTTATGATACAAATTTCCAGTTTTCTGTGATAATCTACTTCTCTAAATTAGGTAATATTTCCCCAAAATTCGAAAATCTACTTCCCCAAAGTCGATAATCTACTTGAAATGAAAAATCTATCTGCTTTTCGGAAAGAATAATCAACTTTCGGAAAGTGGATGTTCCATTTTAATGATACAAATTTCCCGTTTTGATAATCTGCTTCGTAAAAATTAGGTAATATTTCCCCAAAATTCGAAAATCTGCTTCCTGAAAAGTCGATAATCTACTTTTCCGAAAAGTAGAAAATCTGTCTACTTTTCAGAAATAGATGAACATCTTCCCGGAAAGTAGATATTTCCCGTTTTTTTGTGATATAATTTCACGTTTTCTATGATAATCTACTTCGCAATGTAGGTCATTCCCCAAATTCGAAAATCTACTTCCTGAAAAGTCGATAATCTACTTTCAGAAAAAGTAGAAATCTGTCTTTTCGGGAAGTAGTATTTCCCGGAAAGTAAGTTTTTCCATTTTATGGTACAAATTTTAGTTTTCTATGATAATCTACTTCTCATAAATTGAGTATTTCCCCAAAAATTCGAAAATCTGCTTTCAAAAGTCGATAATCTACTTTCGAAAAGTGGAAAATCTATCTACTTTTGGGAAAATGAATAACCAACTTTCGGAAAGTGGATATTTCCCGTTTTATGATGCAATTTCCGTTTTTCTATGATAATCTACTTCGCAAAGAATTAGGTAATATTTCCCCCAAAATTCCGAAAATCTACTTCCTGAAAGAGTCGATAATCTACTTTCGAAAAAGTAGAAAATCTTGTCTACTTTTTTCGGGAAAGTAGATAACCAACTTTCGGGAAAGTAGATATTTCCCGTTTTTTGCTGATACAAAATTTTCCCGTTTCTATGATAATCTGCTTCGCTAAATTCATTAATATTTCACCGGAATTTAATCTACTTCCCCGAAACGTCGATAATCTACTTTCCCGAAAAGTGACTATCTACGTTTCGGGAAAGTAGATATATTTCAGGAAAGTAGATGTTTTACATTTTTTGATGCAAATTTCCGTTTTTCTATGATAATCTTCTTCTTAGCAAATTAGATAATATTTCCCCAAGATTCGAAAATCTACTTCCCGAAAAGTCGATGATCTACTTTCCCAAAAAAGTGAAAATCTATACTTTTTCGGGAAAGTAGATAACCAACTTTCGGAAGTAGATGGCTTCCCATTTTTTATGATACAAATTTCCCGTTTTCTGCTGATAATCCTTCTCTAGAATTAGGTAATATTTCCCCCAAGTTAATCTACTTCCCCGAGAGTCGATAATCTACTTTCGAAAAAGTAGAAAATCTGTCTACTTTCGGAAAGTAGATAACCTTTCGGAAAGAAGTGAATATTTCCCCATTTTTTATGATACAAATTTCCGTTTTTCTATGATTATCTGCTTTGTAAAATTAAGTACTTCCCCAAAAATTCAATCACTTGAAAGTCGATAATCTACTTTGAAAAATTGAAAATCTATCACTTTTCGGGAAAAGTAATCTTTCTGGAAAGTATTTCCCGTTTTTATGATACGTTTCCGTTTTTACCTATGATAATCTACTTCATAAAATTAGATAATATTTCCCAAAGTTGAAAATCTTTCCTTCCCGAAAGTCGATAATCTGCTTTTGAAGTAGAAAAATCTGTGTCTACTTTTCAGGGAAAATGAATACTTCAACTTTCCCCGGAAAGTGAATATTTCCCCATTTTTTATGATACCAATTTTTCGTTTTCTGATAATCTACTTCTCTAAATTATGCAATATTTTTAAAATTCGAAAATCTTCGAAAAGTCGATAATCTGCTTTTCGAAGTGAAAATCTGTCTCTTTTCGGAAAATGAATATTAACTTTCGGAGAAGTGAATGTTTTACATTTTTTGTGTTCTACATTTTACGTTTTCTATGATTTATCTGCGCTTCATAAAGATGAGTAATATTTCCCCAAATTCGATCTACTTACGAAGAGTCGATAATCTGCTTTCCGAAAAGTAGAAAAATCTGTTCTACTTTTCGGGAAAGTAGATAACTTTCTGGAAAGTAGATATTTCCGTTTTTATGATGCAAATTTCGTTTCTCTGATAATCTTCTTGTTAAGTTAGGTATTTTCCCCCAAAATTAGAAATCTACTTCCCGAAATTGATGTCTACTTTCCCGAAAAGTGAAAATCTGTCTACTTTTCGGAAAGTGAATAAACTATTTGGAAAGTAGATGTTTCCCGTTTTTTTATGATACAAATTTCCCTTTTTCTGTGATAATCTACTTCTTTCTAAATTAGGTATATTCCCCCAAAATTCGAATCTGAAAAGTCGATAATCTACTTTCGAAAAGTAGAAAATCTGTCTACTTTTCGGAAGTAGATAACAACTTTCGGAAGGCGGGTATTTTCGTTTTTATGATACAATTTCCGTTTATATGAAATCTCTTCGCAAAATTAGGTAATTCCCCAAAATTCGAAAATCTGCCTGAAAAGGTCGATAATCTTTCTCGGAAAAGTGAAAATCTGTCTACTTTTCGGGAAGTAGATAAACAACTTTCGGAAAGTAGATTTTTCCCGTTTTTTATGATGCAAATTTCCAGTTTTCTGTGAGCGAAAAATCTACTTCCCCGAAAAGTCGATAATCTACTTTCCCGAAAAGTAGAAAATCTATCTACTTTTCGGGAAAGTAGATAACCAACTTTCCCGGAAAGTAGATATTTCCCATTTTTTATGATACAAATTTCCCGTTTTCTATGATAATCTACTTCGCAAAATTAGGTAATATTTCCCCCAAAATTCGAAAATCTACTTGCCCGAAAAGTCGATAATCTACTTTCCCGAAAAGTAGAAAATCTATCTACTTTTCGGGAAAGTAGATAACCAACTTTCCCGGAAAGTAGATATTTCCCATTTTTTATGATGCAAATTTCCCGTTTTCTATGATAATCTACTTGCAAAATTAGGTAATATTTCCCCCAAAATTCGAAAATCTACTTCCCCGAAAAGTCAATAATCTACTTTCCCGAAAAGTAGAAAATCTATCTACTTTTCGGGAAAGTAGATAACCAACTTTCCCGGAAAGTAGATATTTCCCATTTTTTATGATACAAATTTCCCGTTTTCTATGATAATCTACTTCGCAAAATTAGGTAATATTTCCCCCAAAATTCGAAAATCTACTTCCCCGAAAAGTCGATAATCTTGTGGGGTATGATATGTTTGGTTCACACTCAGGATGGGATGGAGAAAGGAAACTCACAATGTGCTCTCTATATACATATTTTATTGGATGTACAATGCAGCTTGGTGCTGGGAAGGCAGCATGGTTACAAGCGTGATGTAGAGAGAGCGGGTTGGTGAGGACGCTCAGAGAAGGACAGCTTGTGGGTCGCCATGCTCACCAGCGGGAGAGAGGACCGCCAGGCAGGAGGAGGAGGAGCGAAGGCCGCCAGGCAGCGGCGGAGGAGGAGCGAGGACCGCCAGGCAGGCGGAGGAGGAGCGAGGACCGCCAGGCAGGCGGAGGAGGTGTTGCTGGCTGGTTGGTGTAGGTAGAAGGAGAGGCAGATCACCACGAGGTCAGGTCTTAAATAGCGGGGGTAGGCGTGGCTTAGCAGTTGACCCCCGCTCCGTGGTGTATGGCGGCGCTGGTTGACCTAGACCACGAGGCATACACTGGGGAATTGGTGGGGTCGGCTAGGCAGCGACAAACAGCGTTTGTAGGGGAGAATTCCACTACAATACTCCCCCTTCCCTCCAGGCGGTGTAGGAGGCTTGTTGTCTGCAGGGTTGCATAGCACATGTGGGGCAGAACGGGCGGTGCGTGCCTCATGTGAGACAACGGCGATGGCGTGGATGAGCCGGTCGCTGGGGACAACTGTCTAGATACACAATGTCTGTGGGAGTAGAGAGGGAGAATAAGGGTGTGTGGAGGCGATGAATGTTGCATTCCCTCACGGCAGGTACAGAGTCGTCATATGCGCCTGCTGGGGTGTGTGGGCCTGGGTCAGGAGCAGGGGCTGCGTCAGCAGAAGCGGATGAGGGCTCGTGACAGCAGCTGGGTCCACGACAGCAGCAGGGTGCAGGACATTAGCAGGGAGTACCTGAGGGAGAAAAGAGGGGGTGTGTGGGTCCGCACTCAGGAACAGAGGCCGCATCAGGGGCGGCAGGGGTTACTGCTGGGCCGGGGTCGGCGTCTGAGGCAGGACGGGTGTGCTGGGGTCGGTAGGACGTGGTGCTTGGGGGCAGGAAAAGGAGCTGGTGTCTGCTTAGAGTAGCAGAGCTGCTCTAGGGTGTCTAACCTGCGGTGTAGAAACAGTAGTTGTAGAGTCGATGAGAGCTGCTTCTGTGTGGATAAGCCAGTCTTCCATGTTGCTTGAAGACTGGGAGCGTGATCAGTTTCTCCTCCATCCTGTGTGAGTGCGAATCTCCAGGAGTCACCATTTGTGGGGTATGATATGTTTGGTTCACACCCAGGATGGGATGGAGAAAGGAAACTCACAATGTGCTCTCTATATACATGTTGTATTGGATGTACAATGCAGCTTGGTGCTGGGAAGGCAGCATGGTTACAAGCGTGATGTAGAGAGAGCTGGTTGGTGAGGACGCTCAGAGAAGGACAGCTTGTGGGTCGCCATGCTCACCAGCGGGAGAGAGGACCGCCAGGCAGGAGGAGGAGGAGCGAAGGCCGCCAGGCAGCGGCGGAGGAGGAGCGAGGACCGCCAGGCAGGCGGAGGTGGTGTTGCTGGCTGGTTGGTGTAGGTAGAAGGAGAGGCAGATCACCACGAGGTCAGGTCTTAAATAGCGGGGGTAGGCGTGGCTTAGCAGTTGACCCCCGCTCCGTGGTGTATGGCGGCGCTGGTTGACCTAGAGCACGAGGCATACACTGGGGAATTGGTGGGGTCGGCTAGGCAGCGACAAACAGCGTTTGTAGGGGAGAATTCCACTACAATCTACTTCCTCGAAAAGTCAATAATCTACTTTCCCGAAAAGTAGATAATCTACGTTTTGGGAAAGTACATAGCCAACTTTCCCAGAAAGTACATTGCCTTTTTCGTCCTAACCAAGGTCTTCGACTCCGATAACAGGGAAACTCTCTGGTGGACCCTCAGCCCACCAAAATTCAATGCCATTGTGAGGCAACTTCACCATGGCATAAACGGCAGTGTCCTACACAATGGTATCCAGTCTGAGTTCCTCCCTATTCAAACGGGGATAAAAGAAGGATTTGTACTGGCACCAACTCTCTTTTTCATTTTCTTGGCTGCCTTCCTTACTCGGTGTCAATACATTTGAGTTAATATATCTCAAGAACACCACTCTCCTCAAACCTTGCCACCACCTCACAAGTATGCATGTTTCTCGGTGCAACCACACACACCTACCGAAAGGCGAATTTTAATTTCTTTCAATACTTATTACATCATATTTCCAGCAGCTTTTTGTAAATACAGCTTTTATTTTAATAATTTCATTTGTCTTCTTTGTTAATTTTTTATCATGCTTAAGTACTAGAACTTGTATATACTATACTGGCATTTCATTTTGGGTAAACCTATGCTAATGTAGAAAATAGCTGTAAAACTGTGGTGGTTATTTGAGGGTTTGACATGCTAGAGGTACAGGCACTCAAAATATTATCTTGACAAAGTTGTGTTAGATGGCATGATGCAACGGACAAAGGATTTTGACAATCCTACCGAGTTGCAGATAGTTTTTTTGAGCAACTGTACCTTAGGCCAGTTATGAATTAAAACCAGGCAAATATTCACATTGTTAGGCCTCGGGGCCATGCCTTTGCCGATACATAGAACCTGTACAGTTATTAATCAAGAGTAAGACATTAGTGATACGAGTTTTAAATTTTAGAAAACAATGAATACTGTATATACTATGTAATTCAGTCTGCTGTCATAAGTTGACCCCAAGAAGTTCCCCTAAGCCTCATTTATGTTTTTTCTTTCTTATATGATGTTATACAATACTAATAATTTTCAATTATTTAAAAATGAAATAGTGGGCACATTTAATATTAATGTACATACTTATTTATGAAATGGTTATGGGATCAAATTTATATGGAGTACTGCACTGTATTTGCAATAAGCAAATAACATTCATGTATTCATTCATTGCCTACCCTTCCCCCACTCAGTATTTATCAGCGTGAAGGAACCGTAGTATGCAGGAAGGAGTGTCCATTGAATGACCGTGAGTGCCTTAGCAACAACACTCACACAGTCTTGTACTCCTTTTATTCTCTCCCGACCATCTCCTACGTCCCTAAACCCATGGTAAGTTCCTGGACTAGTATTTGTAACCCTTCATGCTTTGACAAGTGACCGATTCAAGTACATTTATCCCTTACAGCACAGTGTCCAAGTGATGATCCATTGTTTTGGTAGGTCTCAAAAGACCAGAGTAAATTTAAATAAATCCTCCATGCATTGTGACTGTCAATCAGTCCCCAATAGAGCACTGTGCCCCACACAGTTAATGTGCTTTGCTTTGAGAATGTAATCACTTGAATCACCACAGTCTCTTGGCTTGCCGACACACCCTGAATGGTTAGTAGAGGAGCTTAATTCAAGATGGTGATCAGCATGCCTGTACGATACTAACTGGGCCGACTGCTCTAATAAAACCACCTAGTGTGGTATAAGGCACCAAGATACCCTATTTGAGGGCATGATGTGGAAGGGTATGTTGAAGGATCTGTCCAAGGACAACAGTGATGGGGTTATCACATCAGGCTAATTTTCTGTTGACTTCACGATTTCTGCCTTTTCTCGTCTCATTTCTGTGGTCTTACAGATGACTCTCACCCAACCGTGCAGGTTGGGAGATCATAGTTTAAAGTATTTTTTTAATGCATATAAAAACTGTACATTAGTGATAGAATAACATCCCATGACATTTTTTATTGCCTTGGGTTCTGCTAGTGCAGGGGTCACCAAACTACGGCCCGTGGGCCGGATCCCATGTCCTTCCCCGGCTCGTGGTAGCTCAAAACTATGCTCTGACGTTACCAGAGCTTTCGTTCTGGCTTGCAAGTATTGAATAGAATGATTATGCGGCCCGCGCTCGTCATTCTTTCAGTTATCCGGCCCACTGTGAAAAAAGTTTGGTGACCCCTGTGCTAGTGTATCATGCTTTTGAGGTCCCCTGCCATCCCCTGAATTGGAGCTCAAAATGACTTCCAGGATGGTCAAACAATATCTGGGCACACTAGAATCCCCGAAACAGTAAACAAAGGACTGTTTTCTATGTAACTTGCATATAGAAGTGCGTGATAGCATATGTGAGCGTCGTCTATAAAGAGCAAGCAATTTTTTAGCCCACCGTCCCAGCTGACAAGACGTGTGATTTGTGGCCTGCTATTGGTTAATCTTTTTCAGCTGAACTATAATTGTTCCAGTTTGCTTTTAGGGATTTTTTGTGTTTTCCCAGAGGCGGCGCCCCTAGAGGCCCACCCACTGGTGGCAGTGCCCCCAGGAGCCGCGGCGCCCCCTAGGGCCCTCCCAGGGGTGGCGGCGCCCCCAAGGGCCTTCGCAGTGGAGGCGGCACCCTAGGGGCCTTCCCAGGGGCGTCAGCGCCCTTAGGGGTCCTCTCAGGGGCGGTGGTGCCCCCAGAGCCTTCACAGGGGCGGTAGCACTCCCAGGGGTTTTCCCAGTAGCGGTGGCTCTTGCAAGGGCGGTGGAACCCTCGGAGGTCCTGCCAGGGGCGGTGGCACCCTCAGAGGTCTTGCCAGGGGCGGTGGTGCTCCCAGGGGCCCTCATAAGGACGGCAGTGCCCCCAGGGGCTTGATTGTGGTGTTGTACATATTGCAGACTCCAGAAGACGGTAGGATTCTTCCCCAGACGACGGTAGAAATTCCTCCCTAGAATAATGTAAGATTCTGCTCAAGAATACGGTAGGAATCTGCGCCAAAATATGGTAGGATTCCACCCTAGAAGGCAGTAGAATTCTGCCCCATAATACCGTAGAATTGTTCCCCAAATTACAGTAGGATTCTGCCTTATTAGACAGTAGGGTTCCGCCTCAGAATACGATAGTATTGCCTTAGAAGACGGTAAGATTTCGCTACAGAAGATGGTAGAATTCTGCCCCAGAATATGGTAGGATTCCATCCCAGAATAGGATAGAATTTTGCCACGGAATATGCCAAGATTCGGGGTAAATTGCAAGAACAGTCGTGGGGTGTACGACGCCATTTACGATGACCACCTTGCCCTGATCATGTTTCAGGAATACCACCATTTTGAAGCTCTGGAGAGATCTTGAAGTTTCGATATTTTGAGTACAGCACTAGCTAATAATTCCCACCAGGAAACTTGTTTCGAGACTCCTCCAAAGCTTCGAAAAGTGCAGAATTCCATATGTTAAAGACGATATTGCTGAAAAAAGACCAGGGCAAGATCATCGTAAATGGCGCCGTACACCCCATAACCGTTCTTGCAATTGGCCCCGTCCCAGGAGACGGTAGGATATCGCTCCAGAAGACGGTAGGATTCTAACCCAGAAAACGGTAGGATTCTTCCCCAGAGGACAGTAGGATTCTGCCATAGAAGACAGTCTGATTCCACCAATATGGTAGGATTCCGCTCCAGAATACTGTAGGATTCTGTTCCAGAATACGGAAGGATTCTACTCCAGAATACGATTAAGATTCCGCTGTAGAAGATCATAGGATTTCGCCTTAAACAACAACGGTAGTATTCTACCCCAGCCCCAAAATATGGTAGTATTCCGCCCCAGAATGCAGTAGTAATCCGCCCCAGTCTGCCCCAGAATATGGTAGTATTCCTTCCCAGAATACAGTCAGTTCTGCTATAACGCCTGTTTTGTCAACGAGAATTGGCTATAACGCGATTAATGAATAGAAGACGATATTTGTAAAACGTGAACGCTTGTTTGTTGCAACGCGATTCTACTCGAACATTTTAAGTGTACATGTACAGTACTGTACTGTTGCTTGGCACAGAGTTATGCAGTGTTTACGGTTCACGTTCGACATCACACGTTCAATCGATTCATGTGTTTTGTTTGTGAAGTGTTATTTGATAGGGACTATAAACTTCATCCTTTTTTTTTTTGCAAATTAAGCAGTTCCCATAAATACTGTATGAAAAAATAAAATAAAAATAATGTTTCACAGTGTGGACTAATAGCGTTTTACACCCGCGCTCTGTTTCCATCACACAATCAGTTGAAACACACACGTGGGTTGTTTTGAAGCGTCCTCAGTGATTTTTTCTTACTATTTCTCCAATTTTGTAGTATTAACTGTGAATATGGGAAAGAAGAATATCTCCAAGAAGCGTTCTGGTGATCGCATTCCCGGTGGTGGTCGTAAAAGAAAGGCTAGAACACTTGAGGAGAATGTCGATGTTATCAACCTGAAAATCACCCTTCTCCCCCATCAAGTTATATTCATATTTTTTCAAGGTAAAGCATTACATTTACTGTAGGATTTCATTATTAGATATGAATGTAACATTTATTTAGACTGTGCTATCCTTTGTGTTAGGCTAACTACTCAATTTTTTTTAATTTCGAGTAATCTGCATCTAACCCTATTTTCTCCACAAGCCGTTATTTCTATTGCGCGAATTTCTACAACGCGAGGTTTTACAAAAGCACAACTATCGTGTTATAGCAGAACTGACTGTACATATCTTTGAGAAAAAAATACAACGTAAAAATCTAAACGAATAAATATTTCGTAAAGTACAGTGGTCCCTCGGTTAACGAACACAATTCGTTCCAGAAGGTCATTCGTTAACTGAAAATTTCGTTAACCAAATCCATTGTTTCAATGGGATATTGGGTAATTGGTTCCAGCTCGCTTAAAAGTACATACAAAGTAAAATAAAAATGCAGTAAAGTGCACTTAGTTTGATGATGGGAATTAGAAGTGGGGGTGGAGGAGAAGGGAGAAGAGAAGGAAGTGGGGATGGAGGAGAAATCACCTTTCAGGGGACCCATGCTTGACACAGTAGTTTCACCAATAAAATTTTAAGTTCACTTGGTGTAATTCAAGATAATTTTCTTTAAATCAACACTGCACTATATATTATCAATATGTTAACTAAAGTTCAGAATGACCACTAATTTAAATGAAAAATGCAAAAATATTCAAGACGCCAACAAAATAGATGCTCTCTCCACTGTTTTCAAAATTCAACCGACGCCTTGTGATTGACTCGTGCATCTGATGGGTGCACAACAAACTAGTTCCCTGTACTGCATATACAGTATTATCAATGTTAAATAAATGTTAAAATGACTTATAATTTTAATATAAAACATGCCAAAATATTAAAGAGCACAACTTATTGATATTTACTCCATTGGAAACAAATGTAAACATAGAACAGATTACTGAATTGGCAGAGTACTCAATCAGCTGATACTCACACCAAAACGTGATTTTCGTAAGGATTTCGTTAATCAGACAAATTATAGTGACAACGTGCGTATCTAGCCGACGATAGACAACTAACAAAAAATTTTATCACTACATGTTCATAAGCAAATTTTTGCACATGAAGACTCCAAAGTGATAAATTCTCCCATACAAGTTTATGCATATGAAGACCCTGAATGTACTAATAGTTTCATGTCCATAATGTTCTCAGGATTTTCTATTGCTGTACAGGTACTCTGTATTATTTGATTTACAATAAACAACCATTTTAAGATTATACAGGAAATTAAATTGCAGTTACCAATGTGAAGCCAGATGCAAGAGAATTTTTTGCCAATTTTTCATATTATCAAAGGGTAAAAGTAATTTATGGTCTGACAAATAAAGTACATACGGATACATGACATATAGTGTATATAAGAGAAAACTTAACACAAGGTTGCTTACATTTCCATCAGGTCAAATATATCATCCTGCCAATAACTACAACATGACAATTTGTCTTTACTTAATCTATTAGTTTTGGCCTTTCAATGATTCTGTTATCAAATACTGTATGTCTATAATCCAGACTATAAATCTCAATCATTCAATTTGTCTATGTACAATATATGAAATTCTATACATGTCTAATCATTCACCATTAAGTAATATCTATAAACCTTAGTCTATCACCCTATCACCATTACTCTTGTTTTCTAGTGATCTATCAATCGGTATCAACAAATCGATGTATCTCTTTCAATGTCTTAAAAGTTGGTGTATCTCAAATCTATCCGTAATAATTTGTGGAGAAACCCATCCATACATGCTAGAAAAATATTTGTCAGTTTAATAGAAAATTTAGCTATTACCATCCATCAATTATGCCATTAATATACTGTACATATTAAATAACCACCATTCAATCTGATCTGCCTATTTGTACATCTGAATATTTATCTATACAAAAATAAATCACTCGGGTAATTAATGAATAACCAACTTATGAATGGATTACCTACCTAGTGTCATCTTGATTACTAATATATCAGTCGATGTATTTAGTTAATCTAAAGTTCATTAGTTTATTACAGTATATGTACTTAATTTATAAATCAATTAACCACTTAAGTATTCATCAAGTAATGTATTATCTTGAGTCTATTAAAAAAAAGATGAAGTTGTGCATTTATAATTTTGTGCATTAATCTGTACTGTACATTCGCTACAAAAAGTATCTGCAAAATTTTTTTGCCAGACAATAGGACTCGACAGATGAAGGGTTTTGACAACCCTACCGAGACAACAGGAATCGCAATGTTCATTTTGACATCCATCTAACCCCACCTTGCAGATACTTTCTGTAGAGTGTACATTGATGTGTCATTCCATCTTGACTAATATATCAGAATTTATCATACCATTTCATGAATATCAGTTTACAAAACAACTCCGGTTGGTATTCAAGAACCACCATGAAAGCCCACATCGTGCTGGAAGCTCAAGAGCATTTATGTAGTATTGTTTTATCATAAGAAATTTGGCTAATTTTTTAGTACACCACTGATGTTTAAAAACCTATTATTTATCAAAGAAATTCATTTACAACTCTCCTACTGGAACATTCAAACGATTGTTTCGTGCTTAAAGAGCAATTTCCGTATGTTAAAGGCGTAATTTACAGGAGTTATTCTAGACATACAAGATAAGATTTAAATTTTGATTAAGGCATTGCACAAAAAAGTACAATGTATCTACAAGAGTAAAGTTGGACTTCCAAACACACATCATGAGCGTAACTCGTTCGTAAGTAGAGGAGCACCTGTAATGTATAATCTATTACTGTACCATCAGATAAATTTAAAATCTATTACTCTACCACAGTGGTCCCCAACCTCTTGTAGGCTCTGGGCCATATTTATCATTGTAAATACAGTAATATCCCTGTTAGCCGGAACAATTGGTGCAGTGCATTTCTGGGAATGAGAGACTTCCGGGTAACAAGACAACTCTCAAAGCCAGAAAGAATCCCTCATTCCCGGAATGTTCCGGGCAAAGGAAATTTTTTTTTTTCAGAAGTTCCAGAAATTACTCATTACATCATTTCTCGAACCCAGAAAAATATCCCTCGGCCCCGGAATTTTTTGGGTTACGGAAAAAATTTTCTCTGAATTTCCAGAAAATGCGTCTGATTTTCATCTCTCAAACCCATAAAAAAAACACCATCCTTGAAATTTTCCGGGTATGGGAAAAAATTTCTTGTTAATTTTCCGGAAAATCCTTCCCAAAGCCAAAATTTTCTGGAAAATTATTGCTTTAGGAACAATTTTTTCAAGAAAATTTAAATTCCGGCTATCGGAGCTCCGGGTTTGAGGGATTCCGGTTAATGGAGATATTACTGTATAGTGGAGGGCGCCAAAACCTTGAATTGTAACCATGCTTTTTTATTTAGAGTAAATTGTGTCATGTTTACAGGAAATACGTGAGAAAATTCAGTTTAGAGAGAAAGTTGTACCAGGTTATTGCAGATTTTAATTAATTTCACTCATACAAACCTCAAATATTTCAATTTTCTAATAAACCATTGTGGGCTCCATAATATGGGTCTGCAAACTATAGGTTGGGGACCACTTCTCTACCACAATAATAGATAAATGTACAATTTCCTACTGTACCTCCAATCAACTCATCAGGTCAATATATTACTTATCATGAAATAATACATCACCATACCAGAGCATCACAGTTTTCAATCACTCATCCTCTCACTGCATAACTTCTGAGCTTTGGTGATCTACCTAATGAAAAACCTCTTTGAACCAGCCACTGACTACTCTACGTTTTGTGAGTGGTAGGACAGGACACACCATGAGAACAAACTACTGGATTCTAAGCGGGAATAACAAGAACTGCTTCGATGTAAGGAGAATGAATAAATTTGGTAAGTTGGTAGAGGTGTTCAAAGTTTTTCATACCATACCACACACTCCAACCTTCCATGTCACAAGGTGGAACAACAAGTGCCCTTCCAGTGTAATTAGTTTTAAACTGCAGAAAAAACTGAACATCACCACTATAAAGCATGTAAAGATTTGCTCCTGAAACCATGTAGGATTTACCCTTTTACAATACTAACTAACACGACTTGTTCACTTTATGAAGAACCCAAATTTTATTCACGAAACACCACTCATAAAAATTTCTTGGCTAATCCTCATGACTAACTCCTCATGTTCTCTTGTAACTGCCGAGGAATTACGTCACCTCGACTCTTGCTCAAGGTTAGTTTAAATGTTTCTTTTTTTGTACAATTAACCTCATCCTATTGTATATTAAGGGATGAGGGAAACACCATTATGAAATATATAAGCAGGTATGTAACAATCACAAATGTGAACAACCCTTGCATGATCCATCCTTATGCACAGTGAACAATAGTATATTGTATTTAGCCGAATCATTAACTACAGGTGCAGAATCTTAACCCTCTCGCGCACGAGATAAGTTTCAAGTTTCCCAGTTGCAAGATCACATCTCCGAGGTCCCCACGGCAGGTGAGACAGCACACGATAATTGTTTTTATTTTTTTTTTATTTTGCTTTATCAATTTCCGAAAAAACTTTTATTGGCATAATCCAAAAAAAATATAAATAAATAGAAAAAATACAAGTACATAGCAATTTTTCATCGCTTCTAATAAACATGAAATAAAATACACATCAATACGTTCACAACCTCCTAGCTCAAAATTGTCCAAGCCAACTTTTAAGTAATATGCACTGCTAGCAGCAGAATTTTATGAGCTTCCCAACGCAGTAATCAGATTTCCGATATGACCAGTAACTTTTGAAAAAATAGCAAAAAATTTAAACAATTCTCAAATAGTAAAAAATAATATTTGATTATTTTTGTGCCAATATCTTATATCAATATAAATTATATTGCATCGTGTAGCCAACACTATAAAGAGGAGAATGGTACAGATAGAATTTATGTAAGGCTAGAAAAACATCCTCTTTTGGACTTTCTTTGAGACACTGTCACTATAACCAGGTTGTATAGCCTGATATGATAATGGCTTTTGAAAACTAAACACTTCCCTGTAAATATGAACAAAAGTTTACATTACACAACCATCACTTCAATAACACTAAAATAATTATTTCAGGGAGTAGGGTAAGCACTGTAATCCAGGAGTTGAGGCAGCCCGCATGGAACTGTGGAAACGTAAAAGGACACAACATCGTCTTACTACCGATATAATACTACACATTTATCGTTCGTCTTCCCTTCCTATGGGCCTCGAGAGTTGCCAATTACGTAGTTCATTTGATAGAATTTACTTGCTACTATGATGCATCACAATTTGATGCAATTCTGTGTAGAACTTTAATTTTGGGAGAGTTTTTTAAAGTTTGGAGACCCGATTTGCATCACCGTGAAGTTGGTCTTATGAATATGACACGAATTGTGTCATCATGCGCGAGAAGGTTAAAATATATTACTCAAAGCCACAACTGAACATTATTACTCCAAACAGATCAAATTAATTCACAAAATAGTGGTAAATACAGAGGCAACATATGTGCCACAGAACATGGCCAAAAAAATAATTCATTCATTGGTTTTAATCAGACAAATTGCATTCATGATAAACACAATCATCTATAAGTACAGTACAGTATAGTCCACACTATAGCCACTATTTTTTTTTTTACATTTAATTAAAAGTTTTAGGCCATTGTGTTACATTAACTCAAAATACAGTAGACCAAGTTCAGAGAGAATTTGCATTAACATTACTTTGTTCCCTATATAGGATGGTTACGTCTTGTGAAGCCAGTGTTGGGACCAGACCGGTTCCTCTTACTCTTACAAATGGACGCACTAGGATCTCAAGACACAGTCATCACCAGGCATCTTGCTTATGTTGACATAGACGTGTCTATTTATACATTTTAATAAAAATAACTAATCATGTAAAGGACAGTTCCAAGGAAGATTCTGCATTAATGGTAAAAGGTATCTTACTACTTTTTCATACATATATTATTCAACTTGCCAACAACCATCAGTTGCCCTAAAATTTCTTCAACTTATTCACCCCCCACACATCACAGCTATTAAATGGTAATGTAAACTGTGCATTGATCTTGCCAAATTATATTTTGTTCTGTTTCAGGTACTGCCAACACTTAACACTAACTATCACCATTTAACCCTGAAAGACAGTACAACAAACCTCTTAAATGCATCATGATGAAATTTTTTACAATTTACTTCATCTGGCTCATGATACAAACATCCACAAAATTCAGAGATGTCCTAGCTAAACTTACCCTTAACCTAGTTACCCCTAAAACTAAAAAAAAAATCATCTCCCCAGTTCATGGTGCCTATCCATTATCACGCTTAACAGTGTATGGTTTTGTATATAGTATCAATGTCAAGAGCTGACCAAGAGATAGAATACTCATAAGAGATGAGAGCCTTGTCAAAATAATTGGCCAACCTCAACTTCTGGAAAAAGCTGAGAGGCAGAAATTGAAAATTATATACAGTATTGTCCAAAGTTCATGAACACAAATCTTCAGTAGCTATCAACAAACAGATGCGACTCGTAGGATGAACAAACAGACTAATAGGCAATTACATATATTGCTTATGGTTATATTTTTGTTCTATACGTAATTCAATCTTAAAAGAGTTAACAAAAGAGCTTTAGAATTTTCACTATAAATGTCTAGCATATTTTGGAATACATGACAATAAAACAACAATGGTACAATGTGTAAACTTCTTAATATCCTTTATTACACGGCAAATCAAGATATCATAAAAACAGCAAAGCACCAGTAAAATTTTGCGTATTGCCAATGCCAGGACAAAAAGTCTTGTGCAAACTGCTTAGTTCTGTATAATGAGAAATGTGTAAACCCCATTAAAATTAGTACTAAAACTGAATTTCAATTTCAAAATATTAGTGCTTTTGCATATGATGACTTCTTAAAAATTAAATAAAGATCTATTCCTATGATTTACAAGTTAAAAGATACAATTTCGATTATATTATTAAGGGGTTGGTTACATCTATGCTATTCAAATATATTGGAATTTAAATTGTAATGGTTTCCATTCTGCAAATACTTTAAAAGTTTTAGCTCTTCTAACAAGTGCATTAGAGGAGATTGCAGAATTACCAAATCCTTAACTGGATAATATGATGCAACAGCAATTTTCACGGTGCTTAGGCCTTATTCACTAGCAGGCAGAAGCACATGTCATGGAACAATCAAGGAAACTAGACTTAACATATCAGCAGTAATAAAAAAAAAAAAAGAAAAAAAAGGAAAAATACTACATGAGCAATACAGAGATATCCTAAGACTGATTTGGGTATAAAATCATAAGTTGGTCTAGTTCATCAAAGTACAAAAGTACCACCAAATTATAAGCACTACTGGTACAATAACTAACTTCATTTTTTGTCTTCTAAAATTTACACTAGCTTTAATATTTCTTGATCTAGCAAAAAATTTCACCCTTATTCACAATACATAATACAAACTATACAAAAAGTTTCCTCCTCTTGTCCCAACCACACTCCTCCCCTTGGAAACAAGAATTTAATAAAAGAACCATGTCAAATGATGCATCACACAAATCCATTCAACAGAGAGCTTCGAAAAATCACAAATTCCATTATATGAACTGGGAAGAATGTGGTTGGGGGGGCTTGCTAATCACTTTTCACTTTTGCGGCGATACGCACTTGGGTTCCTATTGGCAGACTGCTGACGAGTCACTGTGAGGCTATGCTGCCTCACTATTATATTTTTACACCAACATCACTCTAAATTAAGTCTTGCCGCATTTACTGAAATTTTTTTTTTAATTTTGTGATATCTCCACTTAAGACTAATCTGTGTTTGTCTATGCTGGGTAACACACAAAATTGAGTCGTGTAGAATCAGTTATCGTCTTATCCCCAAGATACCTGGCTTGCAGAACCTCCTACACTGGCCATGAATGAACACGGTGTGTGTTAAGGCACAGCAACACTACTCCTATCAATCACTTTCCTTTTTGTGCGCACTGAGGACAAAAGCCTCCTTATACTGCAGGCTTCACAAATATATTTCATGGACTAATTGAATACGTATTCTCCAAGAGGAGAATAATATTAGGCTAATACTAATAGCTGGTAAGAGAGTGGACGTGTTCTGAAAGATCTTGGGGAATAACTTAATTTGGCAACCCACTAGGGTGAGGTTGTGTTGCTGCTTGACGTAATCGCTGGCTCCAGGAGGGGCGGGGGCACGACTAAGCTTGACGGTGGAATGGCTGTGGCATTGCACACTGGATCCTCTTACTCCTCTACCTTCTCTCCTTCACCCTCAGTCTTCTGTAATTGTTAAGAGATTAATTATAAAGGCACAAATATTGAAAAAAAAAACACTCCTGTATTAGTAAATCGTAACTGAATACGTGTACTAGCATTGATGTGCATTATCTCAAGGACCTGAAATGTACACAATATTTGATGTCTAAAAAAATTAGCATGTTTTATCCACATGTACACAATGTACATGTAGGTTTACACATCATTATGGTTGAGCAGGTCTGGTAAATTTCATGAGGATATGAATGGAACAAGGAGCATTTCTGTGTACACAATGTACAAGTAGGCATACAAATCAATGGTCTTGTGCAGGTTTGGTAAACTTCAGTACAGGTACAAATGTGTAGAACTGCAAAGATTTTCATGTACAGTACATAAACAAGTTAGTCAGATAAAATTAGTGTATAACCATTAGTTATTGTTCCAATGACCTTCTATGATCATGGTATTTATAACAGGTTAATACAAGTGTGGTTACCTGTCCCATGTGGCTGACACCAGTCTTTTAGATATTAAAATAATAATAAAAAGCACATGTTTTGTATCCAAACCAACTGTTAATATCACAATCAAAATAAGTGTTCTAAAAATTTTTCCCTTTTTTTTCTAGCAGATCCAGACATGCTTTACCAACCATGAAATACAACAAATGTTATTTGTTAGCAACACGTTCTCACTACAGTCCCCCTTACAAGTTATAACTATATTTAAATTCCCCCAATTTAGGGGTTCATGTTACAGAACAGGATTCTTGATTACAGTACAAGCTTAATTTAATAGACCAATTCTGAGCATAATACAACCCAACACTTTTTAATAGAATGCAACATACCAAATTAGAACATATAATCTTCCTATCTATGTATAGACCATTTCCCTCAATATTTCACATCACCACAAACATTTTATAGCCACATACCATGCTCGCATGGGTTTGCCAAAATTACCAAACAACAGCCCTCCAGGCTGCAAGATATTGTGCAACATCAGTCAACTTCTTCCCATATCATTCTTGGCACATCTTTAGTTCTCATCCCTTCCACATTCAAACTCTTGAATCTCTAGACTACAGTGTTCTTCATTTCCTCACAAACAGTACTCGAAACTCCAAACCCTTTCCAGGTCTCTTCACTTCTTATATACACGATCAAATTTCCTTACAATCTTGAAGATCAGGGACCATCCTACCATCAACAATCTTATCAGTGTAATGTTTTTTCTTTGGGTCACATTCAACCCCTTTCTAACCCCTGCTGCTGCTTTTAACTAAGACAGTTATAAAAATTTTGGTTTCAAATGGCCTCCCTTCTACTTTATATACATTCAACCCATTTTTGTATCATGGGCTTTCTATTTAAAAAAGGTAGTTAAAACTGTGCCTAACCTTTTCTTGCCCTTTTCAAATACCTTCAATGTGAAAATTGATCCAAACAGCCCTATCACTCCCTATTTCTGTCTTAATTCATCTTTATACAGTATCTCAAATACCATCAATATGCATCTTTCATCCTGCACTCACTGGACTATTTCCTAATTTATATTCATCCTTCGTGACTTTCCCACTATAAAATCAAACACTGCCTTCCCCATAATAATAAAATTAAAAAAAAAAAAACAGCACACACCACACAACTTCCTCACCTCTTCAGTCACATGATCACCCCAAAGTGCATTCCTTTCAACTCCTCTCCAAACTCATTCTCCCTCAAACATACTATCTTCTCTCACATTCACCTTGACCCCTACGCCCTGGTTGACATACCGGAACACGAGCCTTTTTTTTTTCGCCATTGTTTGAATGCCCATCACGGGTTATTAGGTTCCAGCGTGACTATTTGGTGGACACACCACACGCAAGGTAGCATGGGTGGGCTCAGTGCAGTTAGTATACATTAGCCTGTCGCCATGGAGAGTCGTCCCTCAGCCTGGCGACAGGCTGCATGTGTGTTGCCGAGTACTTATGAAAAATAATGCTAATGAAATAAATTCTAAATGAATTATTTATAGGAAATAAGTATAATGATCAGTATATATATGCATTACTGGCTATCCCGGACACAAAGGCAAGCAGAAAATGGCCACCAAGTGCGTAGCGACCAAGAGCGCTCCGTCAAAACAACACTGTCCCCTTATCTCCCTCGCCACTGCGGCCCCAAGGAAGTTTCTAGAGGGTCAATATATAGTTTTTCTTACTTCTTTTTGATGGGGGTGTTGGTGGGTACAGCATGTGGCACTCTAGCCCAGGGGTCAATGCCTTCACTATCTCCTCAATCTTCAAACATTATTTCAGTACATCCTTGTACCCAGTATTTGCACAGAATTGTGAATGCTTGTGATTCCTTGCCATTCTTTTCAACTTTTTTTGCCCAAATGGATTCTGCACTTTCATGTCTCGCCAACTTCCCCATTCACAGTTCCTTTAAATCTACTTTACTACCAAACCCACCCTTCTGTTTCTTCCATCTTTATTCTTCATACCTATTTTGCTTCTTCCTCATACCTCTACTGCCACTCCTACAATGATTTGAATCTTCCGAGATAGCATTACCTTTACATGTAAACCTGCACTGTAAGTATATACTGTATATGCACAGCTTCAGTTATTGCTTTCTTACTGCAATTCCTCTTATTTTCAATTACTCAATCTTAATGTTACTCGCCCTCCATCTAACCTAGAGAACTGCCTCCAATAAGCCTTTCATTCTACTTTCCTACATTCATTCATTCCTTCCTTCCACCTTCTCAACTATTTCTTAATCCCAAAGCATTTTCATTACTACTCATTTGTACTTTCCATCTTCCATTAATTTATACCACTTTTTTTTGTCAACTTTGTGCATTTCCTACACCTACTCAACAAACAAATCTTCCCCTATAAACTACATAAGCAAGCTGGCTTAATTCAACCATAAAATCAACCTTGTTATTTTAAGCCTGAAAGTCTACATCCACCCTTCCCATCATTGCTACTCTCTTCTCCCATCCATGGTTAATAGCCACACTCAAAATATATTAAACACAAACTTACACTACAGGTGTGGCTGACTCAGATCTTCTGGTCCTTTAGGAAAAGGCAACATGGTATCAAAATGCATTACTTTGTATTCACTTGCTTTGAATTATTATGCAAAGTATACCAACAAAAGTTCATTTACTTCAAAATTTCAGAGTATGGTTTTCCCATTCAATAGCATATATACAGTAAAACCTCGATTAACCGACCACATATGGAGGGAAGGGGCTGACGGATAATCCAAAAGGCCGGTTAGTAGTAAATAAAGTCTACGGAAATAAAAACATTTTCAAAGTACCTATCCCTAAACTACCTCATTTTAGTCCCTCTATTCATTTTTGTTCATTTGCCATTCATATTTCAATAGAATTTGCTTTAAAACATTAACCACTTCAGTAAATAAATATGAACCAGCACAGAAACCGTGAATAAAAAATGGGGTCCAGGATTGACGGTTAATCCGAAAGTCTGTTAATCGAGGTTTTACTGTATTCATTTATGACTAGACATTTTGTGTACACTTATCACAAGGAGCTGCCAAGACCCTAACCTTAGGCAGCTTGACCTCAACTGAAGCCTCTGCTGAACCTGCTAATGTTAACATGGCCTCCACATCGGAATCCAACTGTATAAACTGCAGACCTTACAATTAGCTCCCACACTAGTTAACTCACACAGTTATGGCCAATGAGTTTTTATCATAAACAAGACATAAAACAAAACTTAAATCTTTAACCTGGTTTACTTTTTGCAGTTATTTTCCTAGTTAGTAACACTGGGTAGGAAACTTAATTCTTATCTAAAGCATGTGTAGGAGACCTCACGTGACATGTTAAGCTTGTTTCACATATATAAAATGACAACAGTTAGTGGCTCCTCATAATATTTATTACATAAAAATCATGGAAAGGGTATAAATATGAAATCTTCCTCAGTAATCAGACTATATCATGCAAAATTTTTTAACTAACTAAAATAACAACAAAGTGGGAAAAACCAACTTTACGAGTTACATCAAATGCCCCTACATACCTTTTTCACTATATCGTCAGTTGCAGGCTTGGCAGCAGCCTCGGATACCTTACCAGGGTAAGTGAAAGTACAGTGAGAAGAAGATACTAAAAAGAGAGCAACTATCACAGTAGAGAAATATATCATTACTTATCCCATTACCTTTTATCAACCTCGGAAATAAAGCATTAAGCCCCAAATAAAGCGTCCCAAAACCAACAATATCACAAAATTCAATAGATCTCACCTTGCAGAACCAACAAAGTGTCTCGAGACAATACAGGGAAGTAAACAGAAGAGTAACCCAAATCGAAATTTAGGAATGAGAATTTGAAGTAAATAAATAGACCATTAAAGCATACAACACACTATACTGTACATGCACATAGGCTTACACACACACTATACATAGATACTTATATACAAACTTTCATGAGGGCTGTTGTGGCATTACTCCTCTCTTTTTACTTTCACAAGTATGTACAGTCAATTCTGCTACAACGTTTGTTTTTTCCACACGAATTCGTTGTAAAGCGAATGATGAATAGGGGAATGCCGTTTGTAAAACGCGAACTTTTGCATACGAATGTTGGAGATAACACAATTCCATCCTCAACATTTTAAGTGTAGCATGGTGTGAGGCTATGGAATGTTTACAGTTCACGTTCTACATCACATGTTCAATTGATTCGTGTGTTAGTTCAGTGTTTTTTGAGAGGTACTCTGTAATTTTTTTTTTTTTTTTTTTTTAAATTTAGCTGATACCCATAAATGCTGTATGAAAAGAATAAGTAAAAAGAATGTTTCACAGTGCAGACTAATAACGGTTTACACCAGCGCTGTTTACATTACGTAATCAGTTAAATCGCGCTGTTTCTGTCAATTGCTCTGTGAAGTGTCCTCTGATTTTTGCGATTTTCTCCAATTTTGTTGTGTTAGCCATGAAAATGGAAAGGCAAGGCAAGAAGAATGTTTCCAAGAAGCGTTCTGGTGATCAAATTGCCGGTGGTGTATGTAAAAGAAAGGCTAAAACACTTGAAGAGAAGAGCTTTGTTATTAAGCATTTTGAACGCAATGAAAGAACATGCGATACTGTTCGTGCACCTAACCCCATTCTCTCCATAAGCCCTGTTATTTTTATTGCTCGAATTTCTTTAGTGTGAGGTTTCACAAGAATGCAACTATTGAGTTGTAGCAGAAATGACTGTAATCCAGGCTTTTAATAAAGATTTTACTTTCTCTTATTGCAAAAGTTGTCGTCTTCCTAGCCACTCCGCAGAGTTCAATGAAAAAAAAATAATACAAATTTTCTCCAGCTGCTGCACTATTTTGTCTGTAAACCAACATGTAAATGCGAGTCTAAATTCGTTTACAAGTACTGTACTATATAAACAACAATAAGGTGAGGTAACATCACGATACTTCATGATTTTGGTCTTGTTTATGTAACCTCGGGTACATTGTTTTAAGTACAGGTACTTAACTGTATTAATTTGAGAGCACACAAAAGGGTAAGAGTAAATCCATCTTTAGCCTGGCTGTATTTCAACTAAATCACATCGGACATCTTATTTTTTCAGTAGTTATACAAATTTATGCAGCAAATCAAACTAAAGCAATCCACTCAACATACAGTACAGTCCCTCGAGTGCTCACCAGAAAACTCAGAATGAACCTACACACAAACTTAACATACTTTCACAATCGTCTTGCAGACATGTCTGTACACGCACACAACCTGAATGCTTTATGCCCCCAGAGGGGTAGGGATATAAACACCAGAATAAAAAAGGTAAATATAAAAATATATACTACTACAGTACACAACATTTGGTACCAGTCCTCTAGGTTTTAATAGAATTACAACTGCAGTTGTGAATAAAGGAATATAAAATGAATGAAATCTGCAGTTTTATTTTAAACCAGGACCTTTAATTCACTTGGAAATACATAGAACTATTTAATAGTACAATATATTAGTCTACGGTAAGTTGTGTAAGTGGGCAAAGGAAAACCAAGTATTCTGGGTAAGTGTGCGAGTAACTGTCAGCAAGTCTCACCTGTTGTGTAGTATCCTGTTCTGCACTCTGTTCAGGTGTGGACTCACTGGTCTGAATCACTTCTGATTGTTGTGTGGGTTCAGCTGCAGCCTGTGTGGTCTGAGCTACTTCCTCAACTGGGGTAGACTCCTGAGCAGGAGCCTTCTCACTGATTGGAGCACTCTCCTGAACAGGGACCTCCTCCTGAGCAGAAGCAGATTCCTGAGCAGGAACCTCCTCTACAACGGGGGCAGATTCCTGTGCAGAAACCTCCTCTACAACGGGGGCAGATTCCTGCTCGGGCTGAGACTCTACAACGGGAACCTCCGTACTGGCAACACTTTCCTCCACCTGATGAAGGCACCCATCAGCACAAGGCACACATGCAACAGCCACACCACAACACTGCATCAACTGACACTCAGCAGTTATTAGGGCTTGTCAGCTTAGATTTAGTTATATTAAGCTAATTAATGAAGCTGCTGCAGTGCTGTTGTGCTCAGTTGGATAATTTAAACAACAGGAAAGACAAATGCTGAGGATTTGGGAAAGCAAGGAGGTATAACTTAAGATATTGAAAATTACATGGCAGATGCAAACTTTACAATACATATAAAGACCTGCCAAATCAAAATGCATTCTACACAGAAGCCACATGTATCCTAGGAATCACAGCAGTTTGAAGAAGAGAAATAATTGTAGAACCACTGTCTGGTATAGGACCACAATAACAGTGACCAAGAGTGCAAAAAAAGTGTCACCGCTGGCTGAATTTCCCCTCAAAAACTAAAACAGCTACAATCCAGCACTTACCTCTTCAGTCTTCTTCTCCTCCTGAACTGGCTCTGCAGCAGGAGTTTCAACTGGAGTCTCCTCAACAAGGGCACTCTCAGCTACTGGGGCAGCTTCCTCCTACGGAACCAAATATAGTACTGATGGACATGTTCAACCCAGTGAATACCTTCTCTTAAAATGTGAAACTGGGATGAGTGCCTGTATAAAATTCAAATTAATTTAGAGTATGTCATGACATCACATCGGGTGAGGGAGAGCACAGCAACAGCTCACTGCTTCCAAAAGTGTTCACTGGACATACACATTCATTTTTCTTATTTTATAGTTTTAAGATTTTATTTCCAAGCCACATTAGAGTATTGTAAGGATTTTTCTACAACTTTTATAGTGTCATTATAAGGCAATCAGTGGCAAAGAAAACTGTAAAGTAAAAAACAAAACGCGGCCGGGCTGGAAAATCGGCAATGCAGTTACAGGCCACCGCCTCCACACACGTTCACTTCGCACACATGCACACCCAGGCTCTTCAATTTTCTTATTTTAAATTTTTAGATATTTTTTATTTCTAAGCCACATTGTTTATATAGAGTAGAAACAGTTTTTTCTGCAAATTCGTGCATTTTCACAAGTGTTTAAATTTCAAAATTTTATTTATCTTTTTTTAAATAAGTGTGCAATTATTCTTTTTGAGTTACTTACAGTACCTGTCGGACAAGCCAGGGATGTATCCCATTAAAACCTTAAAGAGAGGCCCAATTAACATGGGTTTTCAAGAATGCAACCCTATCAATAGAGGGGGTATACCTGTATAACCCCAAGCTGAAACCAGAGGAGTACACTCGAGGGAAGACAGGGCTGTATTGCTTATGACTGTGCATGTTAAGACCAGTGAGGCTATGCACAAGTACTAACATATTTTATGAATTTTACTTTGGCAAAATTTTAACAATCTTCCAGCATGATCTGCATTATCAAACCTACTTCAGTTTTAATGTTCATTTGGCAAAGTGCATATCTGGCAATATTACAGTGGAGTCTTGACAATTCACCAAGTACAAATTTGTGAGTACCTCTATTACTACATTTTTAAATTTCATGGTCAAATATTCATAATTTGCAGCCAAGCACCAACTGCCACAATATTTGTTTACATAACAAAAGTTGTGGAAATATAATTTCATTGCTCTAATTTGCCCTGGAAATAAATAAAATAAAATATGAATATCACTTCAATGCTCCAATGTGACTTGGAAATAAACAAAATATAATATAAACTTAGTGTATGAAAATTAAATGTAGAAAGTGAATTGTTTGTGGGAGGCAGGGTGGTACTGATGCCCCCCCTTCCAGAACAGAGCACACCTTTCCGACCTCCTTCATTAATGCAACATTATGCAATTTCACAATTTCCATATTATTTAGGTTCACTTACCTACCTGGTTAATAACACCTTAATCTTAAATTAAGAAAACATACCAGAGGACCTAATGTGTGGTAATAAATTCATGGTTCTTTGTCGACTGTGTGGTCACAGGCAGCCAGGCTGTCTCCATTTTGGTGTATTAGGGTAACCCACACAAAATTTACTTGACAGGAAGGAGCCATTTTATGTAATTTAAAACTACTTTTTGTACAATATTTATGCATTACTGTATTTTTTCTATGCATTATGTACTGTACAATCTCCCCAAAATGTAATGTTAGATTTTCCATAGCTACAATTTGAAACACTAGACAAAATGCTTTGATATGACCCCCAGTGCATCATAAGTTACCTGCTTACCATATTGGCAAGGGAAGGAATCATCTTTGTATGGCATACTAGATACAGTACACTACTACAATAAAAAAATAAATCCATTATGCTATACAGTATTAATGTATATCCCATGCTGGGTAGAAGCAAGGCATATATATATATAAACAGCCATTGACTGAGGATTACAACACTGAAATGTACACCCACTAAAAAATTATTCGGCACCCGTGTCATATTGTATCACGCTGTAAGGGTGCCGAATAATTTTTAGTGGGTGTACATTAAATAGAAAGGTTTCAGAATATCACAACCGAGACGGACCTCAAAACGGACATTTTACCATAATGTCGTAAGTTTCATTCATACCGAGTTTCACAATATGCTTGCTCATGTTGTTCACGATAAGTCTGATTTATGAATGACTTAGCTGATAGTACTTGATATTATGAGTGAACAGCTACAGCTATACTATACAATAAAGTACTGTACTGTATATTGACCTACATGGAATCTGCCATGTTAATTGCATTGGCTTAACACCAAAATAAGGTTTTAAATCGAGGGACTTGCATGCAACAGAACCCCCCCCTCATCCACCTACATTAAGACATGTGTGGTTGTAAGTTTCAGTGTGGCACCAGTGGTTTCACAGCGCCTAACCCACCGTGATACTGTGGGTCCACTCACCCCAGTTTGCCATGCTATCTCGGTGTTCCATATACCCTCGTTGTGAAGGGTATGATAGCACCTCTTCACATCTCGCGGTGTCTCCTCAATAATTCTTCACTCTATATGATGTAAGATCCCGTCGATGACTAGCGTAGCGTTGGTACCCATTAACAACATCTACCCCGAGTCATGTAATATATCATCTGAAGCCTCAGAGGATTCAAATCATTCGATAACGTATATAATTAATCATGCTCTAAGGTCGCGGATGTAGAATTACCAACCGTTCAGAAAAGGTGGAGTAACATCGCCCGGAAAGCCTTGTATCACATCGACCCCAGAGCTAACGATACTTTTAGGGGATGTACAATATTTAGTGTTTATTAAAGCAATTTGGACAGTTTATGGGTACTTCTGGGCCTCTGGAACTAGACTATATCCATTTAAATAAATTAAATTATAATTTGATAATTTACAATGTCTTCTGGTATTTAAAGAGCAAATTATCATGACCACTTATGAACTGAATAACCATCCAACTGGTACATTTTGGCAGTTCACCACAAAAATCATGATATGGATGAAATTCTCTGGGTCACTGGGCTGTTTCTGCCACCCCTTCATTCCAGTCGTGTTAAATTTCCTTCACTGAGGATATACAGTACACTTATTACTTATTCTTCAATATTGTTTGTTAATCCTCCTTTGTGTGGTGTGCATAACCATAATTTCATCCAATGCTTCACCACCACCTACCAGGAAAATGAAAGTGAACCAAGTACCAATTAGTACAAAAATAGAAGCACTTAACACAAAAGTACGAGGTTAGGGTGGGAGTAATTTTCTTGTTGGCTACTAATATGCGAGACTGGAGGCATACAGTAAAACCTTATTTTAAGATCATCTTTACAGTAAATAATGATATATAGGGACATCATATGCAGGTGACGGAGCGATGGAAGTACAGTAAGTCTCATTTACCTCCAGATATCTACATATACATGTCTAGACCTACTGGTAAATGTGAATCAGTTATTCATATTCAAATTAAGAGTTGATGTATGCTATATGATCAAGAGTTTGATTTCCATGTACAGTGAAAGTACAGTACTGAAGTAGAGAGTGGATGCATCATGTAAATTTTCCCCCTTTACTCTGAATTTTGGGTTGGTTTAACTCGTCTTTACCCAAAATACAATTTTAATTCATTCAAATTGTATTAAGGGGAAAAAATTATAAAAAATAAAAAATCTGCCATTTACCTCCTCCAAAACAGTCCCTCACAGCCTCTTCATGCCACAATGTGCATGGTCAGTGTGCCAATGAAACCTGTTCATCCCCCCTCTTCTTAATAGCAGCTGCAACACATTCCTAATCATGACATCCCCATGTTAACCTATCATTAACCTCCACCATTCCTCACATCTCTTCCCCCTCACATTCGTCCAACAACTTTCAACCTAACACTTTAAATGTAGGCCATACACTCATTATTGCTCATTAACCTTCAACATCTTTCTATCAATAGCATACTATGCAAGTCTAGTTTGTATTGTAGGTCATTGTGAATTATTACATTGCCACTCGGCATTTGTAGTGTACTTGTACAAAGCCCCCTTTAGTTCATTACAAAGTACAGAAGTAGAAAAAAAAACGTTTCGTTTTATTACATGTCGAGAAAAAAAATGGTTAAAAAAAAACCTGGTCTCATCCTAAAGAAGGTAGGAAATGTTGAACTATACCTTCACTGTTTCTTCCTTGACTTCAGGTTCAGCAGCAGCCTCCTCAACAGGAGCTGGGGCTTCCTGAAAAATTATTTAAATAAAATAAAAATGTAAGAATTTTTAACAGCCATCTCCTGAATAAATTATTATACAGTATATGCTCATCAAAGAATAAATTCCAAAAGGCAGTACACCAGTGTACTAAAACACAAGCACTGCTTGAAATTGTGCTTTTAAATTTAAAAAAAAAATTTAAATACCAATAGCTAACATATCAAATATAATTTCTCCACAAAATGTTAAGCTCACATTATCAAAAAGTTAGTTTTATCTAAACTATGCAAAAGAGAACACACACTAAACTCTCTTATGAAAGAATAATTGGTGCAGGCAGATCCTATTCAAGTGACAATTTCTTATCAAGTAGAAAGTAAGCTGAAACACCAAAAAATTCAACATTCTTTATGTAAATTCAACTTTTAATATAAATAATAAACTAATTATAATCACTCGCATATGTACTGGACCCCTCACAAACTTATTGCTCCCCTCTGAATTGCTTAAACCTATCAGTGCACAGCAATGGCAGTGTGGGTGAGGCTGACAGAGCACAATGGCATGGACTATGCATGGGAACTAATAGCTTCCATTTAATGGGACAGTACCCAAGATTCCATTATTCTATTGGGATGGTACTCTAAGAATAAACACAACTATAGTAACAGTGTTTACTGTAATAAATTCCTTACACATGGATTAACAAGACATACCGGTACTCAACCTATTCCTTTATCACCTTAATATGTCCTGTAGATACTTTTCCAACTTTATATAGGACGTCATTCAAGGGTTTTTCCTAAATAACCAGAGTACTTGTGTAACTATTTACTTCTCGATTTAGAACATCTTTAGATATTAAGCCCAATATAAATGTAAAAGCCAATGAATTTTGCATTATTTATACAATTCTTTACTCAGTGACTGACAGCAGCACCATATGTCATTTCACATGTTCACTACTATTGAATTCAAGAACCAAACTCGCCATTTATTAACTTAGTATTGCATCTCTTCACTCTACTGTTTTCTTTGAGACTTCTGTAATCCATAGATTCATCCAGCACAAAAGTGGGATGGGATGTCCTTATATTATCATACAGTATTTGTATTTCACAACTGCAGTGCTCACATCTATCATTTTGACAAGCCGACCGACTTACCTCCACCTTCTGTGCAGTCTCCTCAGCAGCTGGGGCTTCCTCTTTTTGCTCCTATGTTCAATAAATTAATATGTTATGACCTTTTAGTTATAGAAATACTGCAAATTAATTAGCACCTTTGTTGATTTGAATATGAACTGTCAAGCTTTTAGCATAAAGTTTATGACTGATGCAGCTATTCCTAATTCTTAGTGCTGTAATCACAAACCTGACAAGTTGCTATATTGGATGTAAAACCGTTATCATAAGACACTACTATTACAAGCATTTAAAATTATAAATAGCATCAAATTATCAACCATTTTAAAGCCCATTCTGCCTTAAGAGTTTACTAGAAACCATTTTAAGCATTAGATTTAGCTGGTTAAGTTTAAGATCATGATGCTATCGTATTCAAATAATGTATCCCCTGTCAACACAAGGTACCTGAGGACACCCTTGTCTAGCCAAGATGTCTTATGAAATCCCATCTACCTGAGTTGCTTTAGGCAGATCCTATTTGCTTGAGATGCCACAGGATGTCCCATCTACAGTTAAGATACTTAGGTCACCTCCTGCCTACGTGGGATGCCTGAAGACCTTGTCTACACGGGATACATAAGGACATTCCCGTTTACAAGAATTGCCCGAGGACATTTCCCTGTCTACATGGGTTACCCGAGGACATTTCCCTGTCTACATGGGATGCCTGAGGACAATTCCCTGTCTACATGGGATGCCCGAGGACAATTCCCTGTCTACATGGGATGCCTGAGGACAATTCCCTGTCTACATGGGATGCCTGAGGACAATTCCCTGTCTACATGGGATACCAGTAAATCTTAGCCTCACATGCAACCCTTCACTCACTACTCATTGAGACAAGTTCAGATGTAAACAGGCAACATAAATTATTAGCTGCTAAAAAATCTGCATTGCATATGGCAACCTAAGGATGGTGCACTAAATCAACCTGTACTGGAAACAAAATGAAAATTAAATTAAATTCCATGTTGGTAGTGTTGTAGAAAACATCCCCCCAAATGCTAATAGAAAAAAGAAAAAAGCAGAGACTGGTCAGCTGTTCGTTTCCAATGGCTTGCGTCTCCCAAGTCTGGTTGGTCTACTCGCACTTTCCTTATCACGTAGAGGAAAACTATTCATGATAAATATTTCAGTTTGTCTGTAATACTGGGACAGTTGTTGAAGAGGCACCTATGGAGCAGGACAGTTACTCCTAGATGAAAAGTCAGATGTAAGAGCAATAACAACTAAGAAAAATTTGTACTAAGTTTCACATAATAGATTCTCAGAAAATAAAGATGGGGAGAGATGCAGGTATTCCACAGGGATACAAGACCTGTTTATAGTTGGCAATTTCCCAGGATATGTGTGTATGTGATATGTACCTGCTCAGAAGCGTGATGGCAGTTGTCACAGGTTCCATCGGCTGACGTGACCCTTGTAAGTGCTCCACACAGTATGCAAACCACCTCGCTCACCTCAACAGGCTCAGATATTGCACACACTGTGCTCTCTATCACACTTGAAGTGGTTTTCTCTGTTAATGTCACAAATTCTGAGTGTTGTTCTAACACCTCACATGTCTCCTCCAAAACTGGGGCATCATTATAATTGTCTTCCAAATTATCTTCCACATGAGAAGTTGACTGCTCTAAGTTAGCTTCACACACCTGGGACTCGACTAAGGTTAGAGGTTCTGCTACTAATGGGGTAGATTCAAACAATTCTTGGGACTCTGGGGCAAGGTTAATCTCCTCTTCAGTAGGAGGGTTAGAGAGGAGGCACTCCTGGTTAGATTCTGATACCTGAACAACCTTTTCAGTTGGTGTAGATTCTACAATTGGGGCAGCTTCGACGACTGGGGCAGCTTCTATGACTGGGGCAGCTTCTACGACTGGGGCAGCTTCTGCGACTGGGGCAGCTTCTACGACTGGGGCAGCTTCTACGACTGGGGCAGCTTTTATGACCGGGGCAGCTTTACGACCGGGGCAGCTTCAACAACCGCAGCTTCAACAACCGGGCAGCTTTCAACAACCGGGCAGCTTCAACAACCGCAGCTTCAACCGCAGGCAGCTTCAACAACCGGGGCAGCTTCAACAACCAGGGCAGCTTCAACAACCAGGGCAGCTTCAACAACTGGGGCAGCTTCAACAACCGGGGCAGCTTCAACAACTGGGGCAGCTTCAGTAACTGGGGCAGCTTCAGCAACTGGAACAAGTTCTTCAACAGCCACAATAGGTTCGTCAGTTGGAGTAGGGACAGATTCAACAGCTGGAGAAGCTTCTTCAACTGGGGCAGGAGATTCTACAGCTGGGGCATCATCAACTGGAACTGGTACGGATTCTTGGACGGGGCTAGATTCAACAACTGGGGTGGCCTCTACTACAGGTGCAGATTCCTGAACTGGAGCTGGCTCTTGTGATGGCACAGCTTCCTGTGTGATTTCTGGGGCTGGAGCCTGTTCAATGAAAGTATCAGGTGCAGAATGAGCATCAGCTGATTCTATACATATAGACTGAGCGGTTTTCACCGGTACCTCAGTTAGCTGAACAATATCATATTCAGGGGAGGCTTCTGATGCCACTTCAACCTCTGTGTGTGAGGGAGCAGGGGAGGCTTCAGACTCCGAGACCTGTTCGGGCTGAGCGAGGGGAGCAGTTTGGTCGGCCTGAGGCTCAAGGGGGGTGGGGGATGGGGTGGCCGGGGGAAGGGGGGCGCTGATGGATGGTGGAGCTGCCTCGGGTGTCGCCTCCGGCAAGCTCTAAAAGGGGCAAGTGGCAAAAAATAAACATATACCACTCTTGAATAAGCACATCATGAGCTAATCTGTTTGTATGATTATGCAGGGAAGCCACCCCTAAATCTTGAATCTGTGGTCAGTGAATGCCCATTCATCCTCCGCAACTCAAATTAACATTCACCCACCCAAGCACTTCCATTCTCAAAGTAATTCATTTCAAACTTACTGAAAGTTCAAAGCATAAAGGAAGTGAGAAAATACAAGTTGTTTCTGAAGTATAAATTGCTAAGCAATGATACCATTAAGCATTATATAAGCATACTGTATTTGACATGCTCTGTCAAAATTGTAAAATCTTAGTTCAAGTACTTGACTTTATAATATCAAAATCCAGTTTACTATGGTTATCACATTCTTTTAGACAACTGATGTATTCTCGTTTACAACAGGATCGATCATAAAACATTACATTTGTGTTAGTATTAAATTGATCATGCTCTGCCATAGAGGACAGTTTCATCATGTTAAGAAAAAAAATAATGACAAATAAACCACAGTACATTCCATACAAATGGGTGGGAACAAATTACAGTGAGTCCATTATGCATCATGCAGAGATTTTCTTTTGTCCATCTGCAGACAGTATTTAGATTTCAGTCCATTTTCCCTTGCTCAGCACCAAATAGCCTTCTTGATTATGTATCTGCTGGCTGGACAAGTAAAATGAGCAGAAAACTTCATGCACGGACACTACAGCGAGTGTAAGGTGGGTGTAGGAGTGAAGAGTGACAATGTTGCTATGACTTTGCAGCAATTAAGGTGACAATGTTGCCATGGCTTTGCAATGACCGGGGTGATAATGGTGCCATGGCTTTGCAACAACTGGTGACAATGTTACCAAGGCTTTGCACCAACTAATGTGTATGCATAATAAAGCTTTACAAACTACAGTACCTAACTTCAGTATTTATGTTATTCTGAAACAGCTACAATTTGATGAATACTGTAATATGTTTGCCGAGGCAGTCATGTCAAGAGTACAGCCAATGGTTCAACATCACAGGTCAAACATGTCAATATGCCAGAAAAAAGAATAAGAAGGGGATGCAAGAAAAAAGTAAAAAATAAATACATAATTTAAATAAAAAATTGGTATACGTACATACAGTTTAGTATGAAAAATTTAAGGCATTGATGGTTCATGCAGTTTAATGTATTTTTGTTAGTGCAAGGAAGTTGCTGTATCAGTGGCACAAGCTGCAAGAACCCATATCCACCCATGGTTCTTGTACAGTATTAGGCTTACTGGTAATTACAGTCCATCTCAGCACTAATCTCCACAGCAGTCCCTCTTAATAAGTGCCTAACACAGTAAAACCTCCCATCAATGGATCCTCCAATTAAGAGATCACCCAATAACTGATACACTGTTGTTTTTGTTTACTATCCAAGTCTCCACAATGTGCAGTACCCCCTACTGTATACTGTATCTTGAATATTTTTATGTGCTCTTGTTGGCTGCTGATCTGAGTGATCATGGGTAAAATCAACTAGTGAGATCATTTCCTTTATAATGTATTAGCCTCTGCAGGAAGACCTTGTGATTGATGTCCCTTCCCAACACCATGAAGTGTTTATGTCCATGTACTCTAACACATATGTTAAATAGTACTGTCCAGTATTGTGCACATTAACAATGGTATTCAATAATACTATACTATAAGAGTTTGAAGAACCGACTGTTGTGGTATAGAAAATAAAGCCTAAAACAAGACCAAAAGAAAAAGGGATGGTTCAGAAGAGTATAGGGGGGCAACACTGCCAATCCTGTCAAAATTGTGGTTACCTATGTCATACGACAACTGTTCATCTTTTTAACACAAATTAGGGCCAAGAGATTGTTTACCTATAAGGAATTACATCCCCCTTCCCCATTGTTAAATATTTATTGCCCCACAGCCCACCCACCCCATTACTAACACCTTGCGAGAAGAATTAGTCCATTATTGATTGGTCTTACTGTAGGATACAGTTAATCAATTACTGTACTGTACTTGGCAACTGAATTATTAACTAGGGATTCTTTTCTTTGTGTTCTAAATTTGTTGATTACAGTTCTTTAATGGTCCAAGTTAAGTGGAGAACAGGAATAGAACTATTGTTTCCAGGGACCTTCGCCAATACTCAAAATTAACATAGTAAAACATAACAAATCAGATGGACTATAAAAATTACATCAGTGTAAACGAAGCGGTTGTATTGTGATTAATGTGCGTGTACACCAACCAGCTGCAGACGGTCACAAGTGGTAACGAGCAGTCACGTTTGGGTTTAGGAGTGCAGACTAGTAGCTGACAGCAGTAGCAACAAAAATGCAGGGTTAATTTTATACCCAGCAAACACACAATGCCCACCACACTAAACACTAGGGGGTTAACTGGTCCAAGTGCAGGTGGGGCAGATGGTGACATGGGTGCAGCTGACACAGCACAAGGCATTACCTCCTGGGCTGGGGCTGGGGCTGGGTCCTCTTTGGGTGCCTCTACGACTGGAGCAGGAGCTTCTTCTTTCTTCTCCTCTGGAGCAGGAACTGCTTCCTCTTTCTTCTCCTCCACAACTGGAGCAGCTGCAGCTTCCTCTTCCTTCTTCACCTCTTCCTTTTGCTCTCCCTCTGCCTTAGCCTGCAAATAAAAAGAAATTTTTAATTTTTCTTCAGTATGAAAAACAAAACAAAATCTATGCATTACATTTCCAAGTTTCACGCACACCACAAAATAAATACATCACTAATTTCTTCATTAACAGCACAAAGCATGGTCAAACAACACTGGTGAACGACGATAGTTAGGGGTAGGGGGAATCCAGTACACTACTATGGGTCAGGTTAGTTAAAGTCGAGAAGACAAGGTTATGCCAGACCAAACACAAGTAGGAGACAAAATCTAGATATGCATAGTTAAGAGGATGTTGGTTCAAGCAGAATACATTACCCATAAATGCACTAGTGGAGGATGACCAAATCTGTTCAGGTCTTGGCAAGCATTGAACCTTTACTAATCAGATCCAGGTGAGCAGAAACCCAAGTTAGAATCAAGGTAAATATTGGGATAGGTCAAGGCAGATATGGTGAACATCTATTTAAGAACACTATTCATCCACCTCTTCTCTACAAAGCTAAAACTAAACTATTAAAAAGAGAGGAGAGAAAATAGAACAAGAAAGATGCTACAGCTACAAAAAATATCAAATTTAACCCTGCCAGTCCCTTGACATGCAAACAGCCATTTAACTTAAATATAAGTACTGTAACTAAAAAGTGAGAGGGAGAGAAAATGAATTGCCCCGATTCCTGACAGGTCAAGAATATGGCTACAAAAACTAAACAGTGGTAAGACAATTTCTAGAACACAAAAATGTCCCGAGATAAAGTAATGTAAAATAATACACGTTCATACAGAAACGAGAAAGTTCTATTATTTACATAAACATACATCCCTCTAAAATTTCAAAGCAGTTTAGCCAACGTCCTTGTGTCTTCACCTTCAAGCCAGTTATAATAGTTCTCCCAATACTAATTACCAGGTAAAATAAACTTGGGTATCTTTGAGAATCGGGATACACGGCAGTCACCCACACCATGGTAACACCGCTCACTTTTATTTTTTGCTATTCCTTATTCTTACGTTACATGTAAGTTAATCCACGTTACATGACAAAAAAAATTGAAGTGGTAAGATTATGTAGTCATCATACTAACGTGTTTTTTCTTAAGTATACATATAGTGTGGCTGTTCATATCCATGTGCAATTGCGCCTAAACTTACCTTAAATTTTGAATAAACTAATACACAGCACACACTTCAAATTAATCCTAATATAGCCTGGCCCACGTTATATATATCTATGCACCCCTCACCCACCTAATATGACGTTAGGGACACATTTCACAGTGGTGGAGGGGACACTGACGCCAACTGCCCCCCCCCCCCTTCTCCAATTGGCTAGGAGAATAGAGCATCCATGGTATGCTCTAAAGTCTAAAGCAATTTCACTAACATATTGATAATAAAGCTAAGGCAAGTCTTAAACTTCTTACTCCTATCTCCAGCTTGTGTACGCATTTAAGGTATGGACCTATAAGAAACTGGGGGTCCGCCTTATGTCACCCGGGCGTTGTCGTCGTAAACCACTAACTGTTGGCAACCCCCACCCCCCCCCCTTTACACCTTCAATAAAATGTTTGCCACATGTTACGATCCTTCTAAGGTAAGACTTTTTATTGTTTTCAATCTCACTATTAATCTAGTTAATCTTCCCACAGAGGGCTTAGAAAGTAATAATAATAAAGCTTCCCAGTATTCTTAGCAAAGGCAACTAACATCTAAAAATAAAATATGACCCAACTAATTCTTACTACCATAATGATTCTACCGTTTCCTTGGTGACGTGGGAAACTCACATGGATATACCACTTTTTGGGCGGGCATCTAGAATGTTAAATTTCCCCCAAATTTACGTCGTTTTGGAGATTTGCTCAATATATTTCCTTCAGAATCTCACAACAGACGAGTGTATATTAACAAACATAGCTCAGGATTGGGAGTAGCTCTTTATTACACGGACCTGCTCGGTACTGTGCGACTGACAGACAATGTTAAGCCTAATACTGACACTGTCCTGAACCTCGCTTCCCTGTAACAAACTTGCATTCGCGGCGACTATCATGAATCTCCTCGTCAGGATTTAAAAATTCTATGGAACAAAAAATCTAATACAATGAATTTGTTGACATGATCTGAAGACAGTAATTCTGATGCCGTAATGAATTATCTCCCTTATAAAAGTAATAACATTAGGATGGCCACGTCGTCATATATGCTCATTACTGGACTAATCTGGGATCGCCTTAAGATACATCCACATACCAACCTTGGTTAAAAATACACAACTTTGTTAAACTTGTCCTCGGTGGTGACCGTGTGGAGGACAATATATGAATAACTCGGTAAATTACTAGGATATGAAATGAGCAAGGAATTATCACCGCGACCTTTAACTGAGCACGCACGCACACAATAATGTTTGCCCCTCGTGTGACGAGGATGGCCAGCCCTAGTGCCACCAAGGCGTGAATTTGTTTAAGATGTAGAAGCTGTCGCCAACAACAACCACACCCTAAGTTAATGAGTTGCATGACCGGACGAATCGCCAACTGCACTGGCTAACCATTACCCTGTAACACGATCCGCAAATCGAATAACATTTCCCAATTACTGCATGTGACAAAGAAACTTGCCCATAGTTTCACTCTGCCCGGGGATCGAACCCGGGTCCGCTCGCATACGAGGCGAACATGCTGACCACCACACCACGGGTCGCATAAATGACATACAGGCGTTGTACGATAAATGCACTCTTGTATACCAACTAAGGCTTATGGTCGCGCGAAGTCACACAGAACAACGTACTCGATGGAGAGGTTTCACAGTTACATAATTCAACAAACGGCATCGACATCCTCCAACACAGCCTGGCCACTAAAAGCGGTCGCGTACCCTTCAAGTCCTAATTGAGAGGAGCGGCCCTGGACTAGTGAAATGCCGCGCCTCTACTCGAGCTGCAACTTTGTATTAAACTTAGTAAATTAAGTTGACATTCCCAAACTTCCAGAGACAACCATTATGAATCACGGCAAGAAAGACCGAGGCCTGCAGTTCATCCCAACGGCTCACTCCCACGACTAGCTACAACCAATGTCACAGCTCCAACACCTGACGACCACATCAAGAACAAGTTTCCTGCCGACACCCTACCAAGGCTCAACACCCCCCATTTAAGATACACGCGCAGTTATCAACACACCAAGAGTTTCAACTCCGCCAAAAGCTACTCCATTCAGTATCTAAAACTTAACATGGGTCTTTATGGCATTTCATGTACCATATGGGAAATCTGTAGTATTCAAGTGCAAAATTAAACTGAAATGAACCGCCAGGATCTACACGCGATCTACCAATTGAACTGCAGCTGGTGGGGGTTAACAACAGGCCGGAGCATCTACTTTGTTAACGAGACTGAAACAATACGTTAAGTCACTGGACACGAAGTAGTTTTGGATGCTGGAACAGGTCGTGTGTGTGCGGAGTGTGGGTGTTCGGTGCCTGTAGACCCAAACCCAAAATATTACTTGGTACCCTCACGCGTCCACCGCGCACCCACAATCATACTGCGCATTACATTATCTATTTATACAGGTAAATATCCACGCGCTGAATCACAGCCAAAACAAACATCACATAAACATCAGCAGAACCGTCCATTGAATATAAATATCATGAGTAGTAGAGCAGGAAATATTATCCATGTGGCAGAATTAGGAGTTTACGGAGGTGGGCTGGGCGGGAGGTGAACAAGTCCATCCATCATTAGTGTCTGCAGCCCAGGACTTGCGTAAATACAAGAGCCACAGGTCCTACAGGAGGCGCCAACTCAACAGGGGCTTGTTCAAGAGCTTTTTCTGCGTGAGGCGCCTCCCAGCAGGAACCTGCCCCGTAGCCTTTACCTCTGGGGGCGTCTGCTTGGGAGCCTGATCTTCAGCAGGAGCCTGTTCAGAGACCTTTACCTCGACTGGAGCCTGTTCAGAGACCTTTACCTCGGCTGGAGCCTGTTCAGGAGCCTTTGCCTCGGCTGGAGCCTGTTCAGGAGCCTTTGCCTCGGCTGGAGCCTGTTCAGGAGCCTTTGCCTCGGCTGGAGCCTGTTCAGGAGCCTTTGCCACGGCTGGAGCCTGTTCAGGAGCCTTTGCCTCGGCTGGAGCCTGTTCAGGAGCCTTTGCCTCGGCTGGAGCCTGTTCAGGAGCCTTTGCCTCGGCTGGAGCCTGTTCAGGAGCCTTTGCCTCGGCTGGAGCCTGTTCAGGAGCCTTTGCCTCGGCTGGAGCCTGTTCAGGTACCTTTACCTCGGCAGGAGCCTGTTCAGGTACCTTTACCTCGGCAGGAGCCTTTTGTGCTGTAGGATCCATGAGTGTAGTAGTGTTCGAGGTGGGTGACGGAGGTAGTGGTGATGACACTAAGCAGTAACGGCCCCAACTGTATCTTCCTACAGCGGCCACACAACTTAAGACCTCGCTACACCCCCCTCCCCACTATCTGGGCCACGCCCCTCGCACCCCTGAATGGTCGAACATACGTCGCCAGTGTGAAGCTGCGAAGGCCTCCTCCAGCCATCAATGTCTTCATACAAAACATGAATTAGTCATCACACCCAAATTAGCGGGAGAAAACCCGAGGTATAAGTCAAACGTCCAGAGCACGAGGCTACACAGATACGCCTCTTGTGAATTTTTGTGAACCGTTGTGCCCGAGGCAGAAAATAGTCATACTCAGGGCCCCGACATGAGCCGTACCCCACACACTCGTAGGTGAATTCTCAAGGTTCTCGTGTATTATTATTATTTTTAATTCATCGTCAAAACTAACTGTACTCCGTCTACACTCGGCGCGTCGTAGGTGTGCCCTCAAGGCTCCCAAATACTTTTTTCTTATTGCAAATGAATTAAAAAAATAATCTAAACTAAACAAACCACCCAGTCACTCGCTACACACACTGTTTAGCTAATCTACCTCGGGATCACAAACACACACTGACTTTACTGCACATTTAAGCATTTATCTTTCTCAGTTTTAAT